TGCCTTTTCCCGCTCATATAATTTGTTTGAAATAATTCGCCCATGCAATTTGCTTGAAATCCTCTCATGCAATTTGTATAAATTAGATACCGAATATTGTTAACTAAGATGGTAAAATTTTGGTAAAATATCGGATATTGTTAATTGATACGTGGTATGGTAACAATTGGATAATATTTTGGTAAAAAAGTGGATAATGTTAATTGTTAAAAGGATATTGTTATTTGTTCATTGTTAAACAAATTTTGAAGTGATATTCTATGATTTTTTGGGGCGCGACAGAATTGTCGAATTTGGAATATTATATGCCAAATGATTTTTAAAATTTTACATCACAATAAATTAAAAATAATACCATATACAACATTAAAGGAATTTGAGTTTAGATTATATACCAGCTTTTTTTTGTGATTTTTTTGAATCTATACTATCCAAAACACTAAAATTTGTTAACATTAGATAACTACAAAATTCAAAAACTAAAGCAGATTAAGCAAAACTTAAAATGATTATTTGATAAGCCTAATCATTTTGGCTTAGAATGAAATCAAACGATTATCCAACTATATAAATAATACTTTGTTTCTTAAAATTTCATTTGATAAGCCCAATCAAATTTGATTATGACCGAATTAAACAATTTTGAATAATATTAAATTAGTCGATTACTATTAAATTAATTTTATTTGATTTTCACGTCTAAATTTTTTCAAAATACTATATTTATTTTTTAATTTTTTGTGGAAAATGGCGGCTGGATGAAAATTTCAAATTCAAATTAAAAAAAAAATGTTCTGAAAAAGATATTTTGCAAAACTTAATTCATAAAAATATGGTCAATGATATCTTTAAATACAACGGGTAAATATGATCAATGATATCATAAATTACTTTTTAAATTCTGATAGTTCAACTTAATTGATGATTTTTTCAAAAAGTATGACGATCATATAATTAATTTAATCATATATCATATGTTGGATGTTATTAGTTTGGTCGGAGACACTCATTATATTCAAATAAATAATATATAAACTTTCATAGTGTTTCTTTTCTTACAATAATGAGATGTTAAACATAAATAATTATATTTAATATAAATTTTTAGAAAATATTTTAAGTAAAAAGTCTGTCCGTGCATCGCACGGGATACACACTAGTTGCATGAGAAAGAAACTAGTAGTCCCACAACACAAATCACACCAAAGCTAAAAATTCCAAATTATATGGAATTAGCCAGCTAGATTGGATGAATGAGAGTTAAACATGAACCTAAAGAACTACCCTTTTATTTTTGGACAAAACAAAAGGAAAATGATTAATTTGACCAATGACCGGAAGAAGGATTTCTACATCTCGGGCACACGGAAGATACTCGGATTCTTAGACAATAATATCGTATTTGTACATGGCGCTAAACTTGGCAAAGTGAGAAGGATTTCTACATCTCGCGCACATGGAAGATATTCGGATTCTTGACGACAATATCGTACATGTAGATAGAGTTGAACTTGGCAAAGTCTTTGGGCAAAGAAATTAGATCGATCGATGAACGTTTGTGGAATTGGAGAAGATCAGGGTCGCCACCACGATACCTTTCCCACCCTAAACCCTTCAAGATTTGCTCCAGACAAGAATATGACGAGACAGCCTGACCAGTCGGCAAGTGTATAAGAACCTTCTTTTTCGCGGCATGCTCAGTCGTCGAATTCTCGACAAGTTGCATCACACCGTTATTCTTGAAAACCCATACACCCGACATTTTTTTATTTCCCTATGATCTTATGCGTATATGATGATAGCTTCTTTAGTGAAAATGAAGCAATAAATTGTAGATGTTTTGTAATAGGAGGTGATATATGGAACAAATTAGGTGAAGATGGTGGTGATAGAATTTGAAGTTAAGAGGGGCTATATATATATATATATGAGTATATATGGGGTGATATAGTGAAGAATGGATTAAAATAAATAAATAAATAAAAAAGACTACATAAATTTGCATGAAAAAGATGTACATTTAGGTAATGTCGATGGGCATGTCAAGCTTTTAAGAACCTAGATATTGTGGGACCCGTGTCAATGTAATTCAGGGGACACGTCAAATACATATGTTATTTTCTGTTCTTGAATAGTAGTGTTGAGAGCAATAATAATAAGAGCAAAGAGCAGATAATAATAATGGGTTAAGAAGAATCTACAGGGCCCATTTTTCTTTCTTTTTTTTTTAAAAAAAAATCTTTATTGGAGAATCTGAACAACAGTGGGGGAACATAAAATTCTCCAGCAATATATATATATATTTTTGTGTAAATGAAATAAATAAATAAATTTATATCCTTTTCCTTTCAAATTCCAAATCCAGTAATACTATACCATATATACTTCTTGCTGTGCCCACTTACACCACGTGCCCTGCACGTGAAGTCAATATATAGGACAGATAAATTTCTTTTTTCTTTGCTTATGTCAGTGTGTGTGTGCAGGGATGGATTACAACACATAGAATCACAGTTCATACTAATTAATTATGCAATTTTCTACAATATTGAGGAATTTGAAAACAAGCAAAGGATTGCATATCCACAATGAGTCTTGAATTACAAACATGCAATGAAGCATAGATGTGACTGAGGATGATGTAGAAACTGAACCACCCAAGACAATAAAAGTAAATTATAATGAATTAAAATATATATATATATATATATATATATATATATATATATAAATTTTGTTATGGTGGGGGTATTATATTTTCAGCATCATGCATCCCCACAAGAACAGGATCTTGACGATAAGAGGGCAGTAAGAATCAAGAATGATATATCGTGTAGCAATCAACAAATCAGTGTAAAGTACATTCCCAAGAGATATCAAGAGGACCACAGCAAACAAGAGCAGCCATGCTGCTTCAGTTGTGGATAATGCAAATATAGTCTATGCTGTGAAGATTAGTGTTGTTGTTGCTCACATGTCATCACATGGACAGTGTGTGGTTTAATGGTCCTTCCTCATCCAATTACACCCAAGTTTGGGGACCTGTCTTTGTCCAATCAATCATGCCCCTTTCCCAATTGAGTTTGGGATTTTTTTTTTTATTTTTTATTTTTAGCACAAGTCTAGCCACAGCCACAATATGCATATGTATCAGTTATTGTGTGATGTGAATGAATTTTAATCACCTATGGTATAAGATACATGCTTTTAATGTGCAGTTGTTTCCATCACTCTAGGTGGTTGGAGCATATCTTTGAGACAACTCCAATTATTATTATTTTGAGTGAGCTCCTAAAGTTTGAAGGTCTAGCACCAGCATCAAAAACGGGATAGCTAAAATGGCATGCCGGATGATGATTAGTGCAACAGTTATATGGATAAAGCAGCTTCTAAAGGTTAATTAGGTCTCTCTCTCTCTCTCTCTCTCTCTCTCTCTCTCTCTCTCTCTCTCACTTATACTAACAAAAGCACGATGCTGGTGGGCAAAATTCCCACATTCCACATTAGCTTTTTACCATAAAGGCTTTTTTTTTTTTTGTATAAGAATCAAATAATAAAGTATTGCTCGACTATGATGCTCCTCCACCATCCCAAAACAAAACTTATATTGTAATAATGAGACAAAGATTTGATTCTTTACCTACTATAAGGGACTAAATTATCTAGCCCCTCCTTGCTTAGCACACATAATATTACTATCCAGCAGCACACAAAATGCACATATTCTCTCATGTCGCTACCATCAAAGTTAACATAATCTTTTTTCTCATAAATGGGCCTTTTATTCGATTTCGTACTCATTACAAAACATTTTATTTTGAAATAAACTATACTTAGGTACCAAGACAGTGCAGATAAGTTTACGCATGAATTCAAATAATGGCAAAGGGGAATATATAGCATATAATACTTTTAAATTTTCAAAGAACATATGCCATAAAGGCAATTTAAATGTAAAGCATCCCCTTATATTTTTGTGTCACACAATAGTTTGCTTGTGCTTTCCTTGTATACATTGCACACGGTGCAGTTAAATATTGACTAATTAATGGAACAATACTAGAAAAGAATTGTTTCCGGGGGAAGCTTTTAGGAATATATCCAGAACTATCATTGCTTGTGCAATAAGCCTAACTTATAAGATTAATTATCTGTAATTGCCTAATTGCCAACCAAAAGTTCTCTCATAGATCAAGGGGAATATTAAGATGCGTGAAAAGGAGATGCATAAAACCTAAATAACAAAAAAAATGATAAATTCAAAACTCATATTATATATGGGGTAAAGCAAGATTCTAGTGACTCCCACTATAGTGTAATGCTGTAATTGTTTGTTACAACAGCCTATATGAATAATAATAATAATAATAATAATAATAATAATAATAATAATAATAATAATAATAATAATAATAATAATAATAATAATAATATAGATGTAAAAATGTCACAAAGATTATTTTATTGAGAACCACGAATGTTTAAAGATGTTAGGCCAACAGTATCTGGGCTCTTTAGCTGGTCCAGCTGTTTTTTACCACGCCGAACTAAATACTCAATATAGAGAAAGTTTTTGCGATCAACCTGAGTGGAATTATGGCGAAACTCCGCTGACACGATCGATTCAATTTTGGTACGTTCTTCGGGTGATTTAGCGCGTGCAGCTCGCAAAAACCCTCTATACAGAGCAAGCACTTGTTTTTGCATTCCTGAGAGCCGTGGGTTGCCCGATGCACCCATTGTTTCTTCTTCTCCAGCTCTTTTCAAGCTGTGCCTGGTGAAAATATTCTGGAGCGTGAACAGTGAACAAGCACTGTACCAAAAAAGAAAGAGTATAAAAATGTTATTACAACTAATCGTATTTCCATGATTGGCCAAGACAAGCAAATACAACCAAATTACATATAAGAGAAAATAATTTGCTCCTGTTAATTCTTTTCCACAAGGATGTTCAACACATAACTCGAATTAGATTACTATTAAACAACAGTGGCCGACACTGGGCCGACTATCTAGACTTTGCAAACACTAATGCCTGAATCAGGCACTCAACTGACCAGGCACGTAGGTCGCAAATGATACTAGCAATGACCATTTTGCATATTTTTTCGTGTGAATTTTCAAGCTCTAGGCATCACAAGAGCTATGCATATCAGCAAATATGATTAAATTGCCGTATAGATGGTTCTCTCATGAACCAGTATTCAAGGGCCGATCCCAATCAAAACGGCACCTCGATTCAAGCTAGAACTTTACAAGTACATATGAAGTTTCTGTATGCGAACTTAAACTAGATTTCCCAAAATGGCATGGAAACACAAGACGCCAAATCCAATGAACAGCTAACACCAAAAAAGTAAAATCATTTATGGGGGATAACTTCTGTAAAATGGACCAAACTAACAAATTCCTTAGTCATAGCTCAAAACTCAGAAACCCAATTCATTTTTAGTCACATTGGACCCATTTCATTGTGTGGCCAATTATACATATCTGTTATCATAAAAGGAACAAATTTTTGCAGCACAATTAAGAAATCAGTTCGCTTATCCATTGCGAAACTGCACGGAACAAGCAGGCTTGCATCATCATATGGTTTTCAACTTGGAAAAATCTAATGCCCTTCAAAATAATCACTCATTTGAAAGTATAACAGAATAATGCACCCCAAAAGGTGTAAATTGCAGCACCACAATTAAGTAACAGAGACCAAAGGATATAATAAGGAGCAGCAAATCGTACAACCCCAAAGGCAACAAGTATCTAAAAACATAGCAGGGGTACTTTCAGAACAAAATAGAATTGAACACCCCCCAGAATAAAAGTAGCAACCAAAAAAAAAAAAAAATCTTTAAAGTGAAAATGTACAATCTGCGTATGCAGCGGCGGCTCTCAGCTTGGAAATTCGGCAGCGGCGATAAAAAATCCCAATATTCCGACGGTGGACCTGCTTATCGTCACCCGGTGTCAAATTCCTGGATGGATTTCGTATGTTTTGGCGAAATAATCAAATTCCCAGCTGAGTTCGGAGTTAGGTTTGTGTTTTATTTTTGTGCGTGAAATAATTATTGAAATTATAATATTTTCATTATAAAATTTAAAGAAAATACCACAAGTTGAAAAAAAAAAAAAAAAAACTGTGTTTAAATAAAGTTGTCTTCTTTGTAGTATTACAATTTGAATCATCATATTTACTTTCATCTTACCATACCACCAATTTTTTTTTTATAAATACATAATTTGGTTTTGATTTGTTTAAAAAAATATAAATTTATATTGTGTCTACCACCACCAATATATTTTTTAAAACACACATAATTATATTATAACCCGTGCCCATGGTTAAGCTTAAATTTATTTAAAAATACATTTATTCATATTATAACTCTGAAATGTGTTTGTCCCGCCATACAAAAATAAAAGAAATATGAAGTTATGAAGATCAAATTTAGCTGCTCATCAGCTCATCTTCATAATTCAAGAAGTGTATATTTTGCAATTGATCATAACAAGTGCCATATACTCAGGTATATTTTGCATTAATCCTAAAAAACAAACGTCAAATTTTCAATGAACAACTTTAGCTCTCAGATGTCCATAGCCGACCACCGAGAAGCTGTGATGACTTAGATGCAGGCGGAAACAAGAATGGTATGTGGGCAGCACTTGTGCTTGCTTAGCCAACAGAACAGAATCAATAGAGGCATCGCGAGATGAGACTTCTTCGTAAGAAGGGAGCTCCATGGATTAGTAGTTACAACATTTCTTATCCTCTCGCTATACAAGTTTTGTAGGTGTTTAACTTCAGTTATTTGTGTAAAACTTCATATATATCAACTCTTAATATGATATGGAGTTTGGCGCTTGTTTAATGGGATGGCTGGCAACATGAGTCACAACTTCAATTGTTGGTTGCTACAAGTTTGCTCTTTGAAAAGAGGTATACTTTCCAAAGCAATGATTCAACTCTCGACTGACATTTTTGGTGGCTTTGGAAGACTAAAAACCTTTTGATCTTTCAGAATTTATAGATACCGAAGAAGACTATTGTTGATTCTGTCTAAGAAATGTAATGAATTGAGAGTTCTTGCAATTTTCTCTGATGTTTCTTCCGTTCATCTAGTTAGGGTCTCAGTACCTAAAAACTTTGGTTATGGTGGAATGAAAAATATTTTTATCGAAGAAAAAAGAAACTCTTAATATGACCCCACCAGTGAAACGGGATGGACCTAGCCAGGCCCATTTTAGATTTGTCGCGGCCAAAACCTGGCCCAAATGTTGGATCAAATTACTACACCTGTGTGGATGCACAATAATCCTCATTTGTCTCTGCCACTCTCTCTGAAATGAAAGAAGTTAATGGAAAACTACATGGAGAAGAAGAAAGACAGAGAATAGCATTACAAGATTTTTTATTTTTTTCTTCTTTTTCCGGATAAATATGGTGCATCATGTCAATTTACATGGTGGAAATTACGTATCATCTATGAAATTTATTTGGTATAAATCACGGCATCCTAGCTACTCGATATCTTTCACAGCATCCTGCATCATCACCACAACCAACAATCAGGTATCATATTAACACACACGCGCAGACATACACACACACACACACACACACACCAGAGCTGGCAATCGACATCCACAGTCAGCAGTTGAGCCCAGCGCAAAAGGAGTGCATTGGCACATATTCTCTAAAAGCCCAGACAAGCACGAGCCTATTTGGTCCGGCCCATTATCCACATCGCCCAATTGGCCCAACCCAACCGACTTAAAATATACTACTTTCCTTATATATGGATTAGGATTTGGCATTCAATTGATGTGCTCGACTGCATTTCGGCCCAGCATGTCCCATTGCTAGCTCTCTCTCTCTCTCTCTCTCTCTCTCTCTCTCTCTCTCTCTCTCTCTCTCACACACACACACACACACACACACACACACACACACACACACACGCACGAAAGTAAGAACCAAGCAATTAGTTTACCTTGGCTAGCCGAGTCACGTAGGTTGCAGCAAACACAGTTGCCAATAAACCTATTCCAAGAGTCAACAGCTGCTGACCATTGCCTCCACTCAACCCTATTTCAGATTCCTCTTGCTGGATATGATACACAACCAACCAAAACACGGGCTTTATTTATATGTGGATTGGTTAAAATAGTTGCAACTCATGAATCGATTTCAGCTTAATTGCGACATGCAAATTCAGTATCTTTGCAAGAGAACCTTAAAAATTTTCATGTCAATATGCCCATGTGTGACACAATCATTGAAATTATCTAGTCTCTTTCAATCTTTCTTCTTTTTTTTTTTCATTTTTATCATATTTATGGGTAAAATGTTGAATCATCCAACTGCGAAACAATGTATAATCATTTTCATTAAAAAGGAGGTGATTAGTATTTGTGGTAATCAAGTTTGTCGCTATGAGGAAGCAAAGAGATCAACATTGTAATTCAGAGATGAACAAGAGGCTCACAATTATAGCCCGGCCAAAAGCACCAGCACTCACGTAAGCCCATGATCCTGGAAGCATGCCTAACCAACTGCAAGATCAAAATTCAGGTGTTTTAAAAGCATTCAATTGCTAATAAGCTAGAAACTAATTCGGTTTTATTGAAAATTTACCACCCTGTAAATTCTAATGACAACTTCTACGAGGTGTAGTACATTATCAATAACATTTAGCGACACCAAGTGGACCTCCAAACATAAAATAAAAGAAAGATTTTCCAACTTTTTGGCAACATACTCAAGAATCCCCTATTAAATTAACCTTCTATAAAACGGAGGACCTATTAAAATTGAACTATAAAGTTTGTAGAAATAGTATGCGAAAGGGAAAACTTGTAAACTCGCTTATAAAGTTCGAAAATTATTCACATGCGCACATGCAAATCATTTGAGAAATCGAAAGAAGGAAACTCTCCTTAAAGCAATAATATCATTCACAAGCGCCTCACACACAACAAGCTTTTGTCCCGCACCACAAAACAAAATAAAATGAGGGAGGAAAGTGTTAAACCGACCTTCCTAATACGTATGGTACAAATTTGACAGATGTAAGCCCATAAAGGTAATTTCCGAGCGAAAAGGGAAGTAATGGGCTCAAACGGAGAAGAGTGACAACCCTGAAGCCATTTTCCCCAATAGCCTTGTCTATTGCAAGGAATTTCTTATTTCCTTCAACCAGCTTAAGAATCCGATCGCGAGCAAAATATCTGGCAATTAGAAATGCAACACTTGCTGCCAACTGTCAAGAAAAAAACATTACTTTAATACCCAATTCTGCATCTTTACCCTCTTTCTCGAGTTACGCTGTATCTAGACTTACAGTGCCACTAATGGAAACAATGATGGTGCCAGTAACCGACCCGAATAGAAGACCAGCAGACATAGTCAATGGGATTGCTGGTATTGCGAGTATCTACAGCAGAAATAATAGCTTGAATCACTTCAGAATGAGCTTTAGCAAACCATTTATGCGAGAACTTGAAAGCACTATAACCAATGACAAATGATTAATGGCAAAGCAAATTAACAGTTTCTAGCCACGTTCATTTGCCTTCTCAAATGTTCAAAAATGCTGACAACAGATTGTTACCGTTTGAATTTATATTTAGTTAAACAATCTATAAAAATTTTAGTGAAATCAGAATTGATTTAAATGGGCTTGATCAAAATCACAAGCAGTAACCGAAGAATATCCCGATGGAGAATGGTGGATAACACAAGCTCAATGAAATTCTAAAGAATGAATTTTGAAAACTGTTACCTCCAATCCAGCATAAACTGCGACAAAAAGGGCATATCCAGCTGGCCCATAACCTGAAAAAGAGCACGAGACACTTTTGAGTCTGAATAAATTGCTTTTCATGAAACCAGATAAGGGCATATATAATAGTTCCATAAGCCAAACAAATAACGTAAGAAGTACAAGTGTAAGCAGAGGAGATTCTTCTTTCTTTCTTTTTTTTCCTTTTTTCATGCCAGTTATTTATCATTCATATATTCACTGCCTACTTCAGAAATGGGCTTCTGAGAAAAACAAATGGTTTTCACTATCTTACTTTTGTGAACACCTAGACTCCGTAACAGACACTCGCTTACAAGATAGCAATTGGGTTCCAAAGAGTATATCCAAACTTTTATCTGGTAAAGCTTGTGCTTAAATTTTCAGATTCCGAAATTTACACTTGAAGTGTCTCTCACTACAACACCCAAATCATGATGCTGAGCCGAATTCACCTCAATGAATGGAAGCCATCTCAATCAATATCCAAATTTCAATTCATAATTAAAATGAGAACCAATGTTTGATCAACAATCAAGTCCACTGCCGAAACTAACATGTACACACTAAATCTTAAATTCCTACCAATATCCGACTAACCGAATTCCAACAAAGTCCTTCACCACAGCAGCATTTTAGCTAAATTCATACTGTTCGCAATAGATATCAAGCAAAAGTGCAATAAGGAAACAGAAAAAAAAAAAAAAAAAGAACATCTTGGATTTCTGTGAGACGAAAGCTAGCATATTTCAAATGGCAATCAACTCAAAAGCCATTATAGGAGCACAAGAAGTTCGCAAGTAATGACCTTCAATGATCCCAGAAAATTGGGTCAGAAAAGCATTGATCTGCTCCCTGTAAATATACCCAACGGTACCGAACCCACCGACGACGCCCACAAGCAAAACCCCCGCCAAGATTGTGCCTTTGACGGCGGCGTCGCCGTCGGCCGCATCCCCGTCCTTATTCTCTTCGTTTTCGCCCCTCGCGCTGAGATTCAGTATTCGCCTGAGACTTTGGGGCGCGGTTTTGGGGGTCTTTGAGACTGTTTTCGGCTGCTTTTTTTTGGTTTCTTTAAGGGATGAGCATGGCTTCAAGAAATGGAACCGCTTGGGTTTCAGCCGGAATAGAAAGAACTGGAAGCTCGGCCTCTGCCGGAGGATGGCAGAGGAAGTGAGGCGGAGGCGCGGCGGTCTTGGTGGTGCTGTTCTAGTTAAAGGAGTGGTGGGCATTTTATTGTCAAACTGGTGGAGTGGATGGTGCTAAGGGGATAAAAAGGATTTTCTATTTTCCTTCAAGCCTTGAATTTTTCCCCTTATTTTCTTAATTCTCGATGGACTTTGGTGAAATTTTGCGGATTGGGGAACCAATTGAATTTGGTGCTAATAAGTGCATTTTTTTGGTTTGGTTAAATGTGTTAGTAGCATTTGTGTTTGGAAGTGTAGATTTATATTTGTGTTAGTGTTGTATATTGCTGCACGTGTTATTCAATAATTTTTTTTCTTTGTCTTTTGTGGACAAGAGAACTCTGCAAATATAGTGAAGGCCTTGTTTGGAGCAACTGTGGACTACAGAACTCTGAACGTGAAATAGAACACGGCATGGTTGACGTAGATCGATCAGGACTTAGATTTTAAAGTTCGTTTCTATGGATAGAAAATGCCGTAAGCTATACCAATTTAGTTCTACTTTGTGCCATTTGTGATCCTGCTTTGAAGATGACTTTGTGAATCCAAAACCAGCAATCCAAACACAACCTGAAGCTAAATGCAGAAGGGAAGAAGCCTTTGTGAGTGTTAGCAGCTATTTGATGCGACTGAGAACATCTTTTTGTATGTAAGTCAGAGCTCATAAAAGGCATAAGCTAGAAAGTACATCGAACGTACAACTTTTCCGCTATCCATCAACTTCACACTCGCTCGTATTTCGTTAGAAACTAAATTGATTTCTTTGATCTGTTTTGTATTCCTCGTTGAAAATGCAAAGTATTGCATTTGATCACCGACACTAAGGAAAGCCTGAATGGCTCTGGGCGATAGCAGGTCAAGCCTTGTTGGAATATTACATGCCTGATCAACTTACTGAAGAAAATAAGAGAACTTGAAGTGATGAAGAAGTTCTGTTATGTTCGATTGGGATTTATCAAAATCGTGTTAGCAACTTTTATGTTTTTGTTTGGTGTTTTTTCTTTTAAGTCTGAGCGACGTAGTTTTGGGGCTAACCCTTTTAAGTGATGAAACGTGGTCGTTTTGTCCTGTATGTACATATAAATAATGAGTGAGCTCAGGGTTCTGTAAGTACAAAAATTCCCTCTGAAATGAAAATGGCGATTGTTCTGATATTCTTAGCTCTTTTTTCTTCGATTAAGATGAAATTTCACATGGTACCAGAGCAGGCGAGCCTGTTTATCTTCTTCCGCGCTTAGATCGAGTCGATATCGCAACAAATCTCGAAGCTTTTGATCTCAGTTCACAGCAATGGCGCCACGAGATAATGCGTCGCGATCGAAACAGGATCCATTCTCACTTCATGGTTCTGATAATCCTGGTATGTTGCTCGTAACAAATCCTCTTACTGGTAGCAATTTTCTGCCGTGGAAACGTTCCATGATGATTGCCTTGGGTGCTAAAACCAAACTCGGATTTATAAATGGTGACATAAAAATGCCGGATATTGATGATGATGATTATCCTGATTGGAAAAAAGTGGATTGGATGGTGTTATCCTGGATCATTAGCTCACTCTCAAAAGAAATTTCAGAATCGTTTTTGTATGCTGAAACATCAAAGGAATTGTGGGATGATATATGTCAACGTTTTGGTGAAAACAATGGACCTATGAAATACAAAATTCAGAGAGAAATTTCTGCTCTAAATCAGGGAAACAGTACAGTTATGGAATATTTTAACAAAATGAAGAAATTGTGGGATGAGTACGCATGTATAGCCCCACTGCAGGTTTGTGATTGTGAAAAGGGAAGGGGTGTAGTGCAACAGGATGCAGAAGCTAAGCTGATTCAATTCTTAATGGGGCTAAATGATGTCTATGACAATGTGAGAAGTCAAATTATGCTGATTGATCCACTACCAACAGTAAACAAGGCATATTCCATGCTACTCACAGCTGAGAGGCAAAGGAACATTCAAACCGAGTATGGTGGAAGGATTGACAATGCAGCCATGGTGGCTAAGACAGGGTATGGTAGAGGAAATTCCTTTGGCCAAGGGAGAGGAGGAAATGAAGGTAAAGGCTGGGAATCTACAGGGAGAGGTAAAGGGTTTCAAAGAATGAGCAAAGAAGAAAAGGCAAGGCTCATCTGTGAGAAGTGTGGCATGAGAGGACACAACATGAGCACCTGCTTCAAAGTCCATGGTGTGCCAGACTGGTATAAAGAAATGAAAGGACAATCAACCAGAAACTATGCCAATGCAGCTGAGGTATCTCCTCACTTGAGTGGTCAAAGTTGTGCTGGAGAACAGAGAAGTCAAATTGGTGCTCAAGATATAAGCTCAGTGATTCAGCAACTGCAAGAGATCACCAAATACATTAAGAGTAAAGAAGAACCAGAAGGAAAGGTGGACTTTGCCCAATTTGTGAGTTTTGAAGGGAAAGAAAACAAGAATCCCATGCACTTCGCTTTATCAGCATTGAATAATGAATGTCAAGATGATTGGATAATAGATACGGGTGCAAGTAGGCACATCTGCAAAAATGAAAAATATATGAGAAACATCAGCAAACTTCAAATGCCAGTAGTGGTATGCCTTCCAGATGGAACTTTGAAGAAGGTTTTTTACAAAGGGGATGTGACACTCGACAAAAATATCACTCTGTCTGATGTGCTCCTAGTGCCAGCATTTAGATATAACTTGTTATCAGTAATGCAGTTGTGTGACAAAAATTCATTGAGATGGATATTCTCAGGGTCAGAATGCTATTTAGAGGATCAAAGATCACATCAAGTCTATGCACATAGAAAGTTAGCTGGAAGCTTGTATGTTTACAGCAGAAAGGAGAAAAGGATTGAATGCAACTTGTCACTTATTGATTGGCATAGAAGCCTAGGGCATGCTTCCTTCTCAACTCTGAAACACCTGACCTTTCTTCAAAAGGAGTGCAATGAGCAGAATAAAAAGCTATTACATTCCTGTGATATTTGCTATAAGGCCAAGCAACACAGGCAACCCTTTGTCAGAAGTCAAATTCAAACTGAGAGATGTTTTGAGCTTATTCACATAGATTTGTGGGGACCCTGCAAAGAAGAATCTCTGACTAACACACCCTACTTCCTAACAGTGGTGGATGATTATAGCAGGGGCACTTGGGTCTTTCTACTGAAACATAAATCAGAAGCTGGAAAATTGATAAGAGAGTTCATCATTATGGCCAAAACTCAATATGAGATGAAAGTTAAGAGGGTGAGATCTGACAATGGGAAGGAATTCTATGACAAAGAGCTGCATGAATTTTTCCAAGCCAAAGGAATCCTGCATGAGACAACATGTGTCTACTCTCCTCAACAAAATGGAGTGGTTGAGAGGAAGCACAGACATTTGTTGGATGTAGGAAGATATTTACTTTTTCAAGCAAATCTACCTCTCAGATTTTGGCCTTTTGCAATACTCACAGCAGCCTACATAATAAATAGAGTGCCATCATGAAAAGGAATCCTGCAATACTCCCTTCTAAGCTGGGAAACACCATATGAGAGAATGCATCATGAAACACCAGACTATGAGAAAATGAAACCATTTGGGTGCCTGGCTTATGCTGCAAATGTTCATCCTGGTAAAGGGAAATTTGATAGTAGAGGGCATAAGTGCATATTCTTGGGATATGTTGCAGGGAAGAAAGATTTTCAGTTGTACAATCTGGACACCAGTGATTTATTTGTAGCTAGAGATGTGATATTTCTGGAAGATACCTTTCCTTTTCAGCCTATCACAAACAAGTCAGACAACATTCCTCCTACAGCCACATATTATTCAGAAGAGTCCAATAATGAGGAATCATCTGATGATGACACAAGTGCACCTTTCCAAGGAACAGAGAATAATGACACAAGTGCACCTATCCAAGGACTTGAGAATAATCTTCTCAGAAGAAGTGCAAGAATCAGACAAACACCTAAATGGCAATCAGACTACATCTGTGGTGATCCTGTGGCCTCTTCATTACACACAGAGGATGATTCACCATATTTCTTAGCCAATGTATCCCTTGATAAGGAGCCAGTCTATTATGGGCAGGCTAAAATACATCCAGCATGGGTGGAAGTTATGAACAAAGAACTTCAAGCACTTGAGCTTAATGAAACTTGGGAGCTAACACAACTTCCTACAGGAAAGAAAGCAATAGGGTCTAAATGGGTCTACAAGATCAAAAGAAATAGTGATGGATCAGTGGAAAGATTCAAAGCAAGGTTAGTTGCAAAAGGCTACAACCAACAAGAAGGTGTGGATTTTTTTGATATATTTTCTCCTGTTGCCAAACTAGTGACAGTGAGGTTGTTCATAGCCATTGCCACAATGAATCAGTGGGAACTACATCAAGTTGATGTCAACAATGCCTTCCTACATGGCACTCTCACTGAGGAAGTCTACATGACCCCTCCACAAGGTTATTTCAAAGCTAAAGCAGGACAAGTTTGCAAGCTTAAAAAAAGCCTCTATGGCCTAAAGCAGGCCTCAAAGGAATGGAACAAAGAACTCACTCAAAAACTTTCTGGTTTTGGACTCACTCAGTCACCATATGATCACTGTTTGTTTACCCTAACCAGAGGGAAGAGTTTTATGGCCATCTTAGTCTATGTAGATGATGTGCTATTAACTAGCAATGATGAACACATGGTGACAGCATTAAAGGATTTTCTTGACAAGGAGTTCACTATCAAGGATCTTGGAGCTGCAAAATACTTCCTAGGAGTTGAAATACTCAGCACTAAAGAAGGTACTACTCTCTGTCAAAGGAAGTATATCCTTGACATGTTAGGGGATATGAACATGTTAGACTGTGCTGCAGTCAAGACTCTTCTGCCTTGTGGCCTTAAACTACACAGTGAAGATGGACAACCTTTGGAGCAACCAGAACAGTATAGAAGAGTCATTGGGAGACTCATTTATCTCAATCTCACTAGGCCTGATATCACTTATGGGGTTCAACAACTAAGCCAATTTGTTAATGCCCCTTATACCTCACATTGGGCAGCAGCTCTTCACATCCTCAAATACCT